ATTGTTCTCACCATGTGCTTCATCCATTGTTCTCACCATGTGCCTCTGATACATGAAATGGTGGCCACCCAGTAACTCCACAGTATGTCCCTAGATGGTTCTTAAAAGGCCAGCAGCAGCACAACACAAATCCATTATGCCCAAATCATGTCTTTAAAGGGCAATACATCCCAAGGGGCCATAGTCACATGGCAGGAGGCTGGCAATCAGTCTTCTCCAATGCCCAGTGGCGAGGTCGATTTCGCCACAACCTCTACCACTTCAGCTGGAAGGCTATTCCATGCATCCACAAGACATACAGACAATAAACAAAACTAACAAAAGAGGTAGACTCCCTACACACCAGGCTACGCTGCTGCAGCTGAGAAGGGAACTGACCACACTCCTGAATGCCAGACACCACAGAGACGCAGCACAACATAAAGCATTCTTTGAGGTACACAGTAACAAAAGCGGAAAACTTCTAGCAAGAATGCTAGCCAAATGGAGACAACACACGTACACAGAATAAATTCGAGACAAAACAGGGAACTTACATCGCCTCCCCACCAAAATACAAGACGTCATACGATCTTACTACACTGACCTGTATATTCTACCAGGGCCATGAGGCGAACAGTCACAAGCCAACCTCCTAAGTAAAACAAAAGACTTCCTACAAACCCACACACACACGCACATTGAAATAGATGCGGCTGAGGCGCTCGATGAACTCATAACCACAAAGGAAATAGCAATGGCAGTGCTAGGGCGGCTAGGGACAACACTATCAGAGCACTGTCGATAGCCCACGGGAGACCGGCCGAGTGCAGAGGCCTTCTCTTGCTATCCACGGACGCGGAGAAGGCCGTCGACAGGATCGAGTGGACCTACCTATTCCAGGTCCTCACGCACATGGGTATGGGGGCATACATGTGGGGCTGGATAGAGGCCCTATACAGACAACCCAGAGCACAAGTAATTGTAAACGGAGCCCCCACAGAGGACTTTGCAATACACAACGGCACCCGCCAGGGATACCCCCTGTTGCCGATACTCTTTATAGTAGATCTAGAGCCATTTCTACAGGCAATAAGACACAACCAGGACATTACTGGGCTAGAAAAAGGCAGCATACATCACAAGGTTGCGGCATATGCCGACAACCTTCTATTCTTTGTCACAAATCCAGAAATCTCGCTCCCGAACATAATTAAATCCTTCCGAGAATATGGTATACTATCTAACATGAAAATAAAGTTTGCAAAGCTGTATATCCTCAACATATCAGTACCCCGACGCCGGGAAACCTCACTCCGTCAGAGCTTCACACTTCAGTGGGCAGACTCTAAAATCAGGTACCTGGGCATTTGGCTCAACAAAAATAGCACCAACCTATTTACCGAAAATTTCGCCCTGATGCTGGCCGCATTCAGGAGGGATGTGGGGGAATGGTCATACCCCCACATTTCCTGGTTCGGGCGAGTTCAGTTTGTCAAAATGAACTTCTTGCCTCGGCTTCTATACCTGATGCAAGCCATACCCATAAGGGACAAAATATGCTCACTAACACACCACTGTGCGGTCTTTAGTAGACAACAAGAGACAGCATACAAACTACTTACACAATGGTACCACACCCCAGACGTCCTACACAAGATGCTCCCAGATCAACCAGCACAGTGCTGGAGATGTGGGACAGAGACAGGGACATCCTTACACATTTGGTAGGACTGTGGAAAAAAAAAAACCTTTTGGCAAGGGATACACAAAATGCTACAGACTTTCTCGGACCAACCACCACCTCTCGACCCGACAGCAATGCTCCTTCATCAAACCACTACACCTAGTAATAGAAACAAAAGATCAATAACTATCAGGATACTCAATGTAGAAAAGCAGCTCATCCCCCAACACTAGAGGAACACAGTGGCACCCACACTAGGCGATTGGTTCACACAAATGGAAGACCTCAGGGCGACAGAAGACATACACATGAAAACCACAGACAGGACACAACAATATCTTGACATCTGGACACACTGGATACTGACGACGGCAGGCGATGGATTCGCGGACCGACTCCTCGACGCAGGCCGACCTTAGGAACCCCTACCCCCAGACACAAAGGAAGAATATACAAAAACCCTACATGTAATCCCTAAACTACCTAACCAGGCCACTCCTCAGGGCCATCACATACGCAGGCTACACAGACGAATAAAAAGGCGGCAGAAAAGTCTCCACCCACATCCCCGCTGCACTCAGGAGCGCAGGCAACAGGGGACCCCCTCACCCCCCTCCTACCCTTCCCCTATAACCTAGAAAAGACAATACATCCTGCCCCACTTATCAACAACCGCCACACGAAGAAATAAAACTAATGCTTCACGCAAACCCTGACACAACATCAGACATCTATACCTAGTAAGGCCGGATGGAAGGAAAGATAGAGGCCTGTACACCTCAGCTTATAATGCCTTTTGGAGGACCTGTGAGTCCCACTTCTACATATGCTTCTCACTGTTCAACGATGTTATGACACCTAAAAATTGAATACAAATATATTTACAAAAAAAATACTGCTGTGACATAGCAGTTTTAAACATTCAAATTCTTTAGGTGCTAAAAAGTTAATTTGGTGCCTACACTTCATATGTGAGAGTCAAATAGAACCGTCAAATACTGTGCTTACATTGCAGTTTTAAACATTCTAATTCTTTAGGTGCTAAAAAGTAAATTTGAGGCCTGCACTTCATATCTGAGAGTCAAATAGAACCATCAAATACTGTGCTTACAGCACATTTTTAAACATTTAAATTCTTTAGATGCTAAAAAGTAAATTTGGGGTGTGCACTTCATATCTGAGAGTCAAATAGTACCGTCAAATACTGTGCTTACAGCGCAGTTTAAAACATTCCAAATTTTTTGCTGCTTAATAGTACATTTGGTGTGTGCACTTCATATCTGAGAGTCAAATAGAACCATCAAATAATGTGCTCACAGCGCAGTTTTAAAAATTCTAATTCTTTAGGTGCTAAAAAGTTAATTTGGTGCCTACACTTCATATGTGAGAGTCAAATAGAACCGTCAAATACTGTGCTAAATTCTAAAAAAAAAAAAAAATGAAAGTGTAGGTACACTAAAAACTCAAACGGGGGTGTTAATTAATGAAGACCAGGAAAAGGCAGGAATTTTAAATAACTATTTCTCCTCTGTATATATTAAGGAAGAACCAATGGCAATAGATGTGCAAATGATTGCTACTAAAAACTTGCAGAATAATTGTAATTGGTTAACTCAAGACAAGGTGCTGCAGCAACTAAAGAAAGTTAATATAAACAAAGCTCCAGGGCCTGACGGTATCCATCCACGTGTACTTAAGGAACTAAGTGCAGAAATAAGTGAACCTCTGTTTTTAATCTTTCAAGATTCTTTTCTTTCAGGAAGTGTTCCGGAGGATTGGAGGAAGGCAGATGTGGTTCCTATATTCAAAAAGGGTTCAAAATCCTTGCCTGGAAATTATAGACCTGTGAGCTTAACTTCTGTGGCTGGTAAAATATTTGAAAGGTTATTAAGGGATAATATTCAAGAATTCCTTGAGAAGAACATGGTTATCAGCAAAAATCAGCATAGTTTTATGAAGCACAGGTCATGTCAAACTAACTTGATTGCGTTCTACGAAGAAGTAAGTAGAAGTATTGATCAGGGTGTTGCCGTGGATGTGATCTATTTGGATTTTGCCAAGGCATTTGATACAGTTCCACACAATAGATTAGTGTTCAAACTCAAGGAAATCGGTCTAGATGAAAATGCTTGTTCTTGGGTAGAACATTGGCTTAAAAACAGAGTACAAAGAGTTGTCATTAATGGTAAATTTTCAAGCTGGACAGAGGTGGCAAGTGGTGTCCCTCAGGGGTCTGTTCTGGGACCCCTTCTATTTAACATGTTTATAAATGATCTTGAAGACCGCATTGAAAGTCATGTTTCAGTGTTTGCAGATGACACCAAACTTTGTAAAACAATACAATGTGAGCAAGATATTACTTTGCTGCAGAGGGACTTAGATAGACTGGGGGACTGGGCACTCAAATGGCAGATGAAATTTAATGTTGAAAAATGCAAAGTTATGCACTTCGGCGTAAAGAATACACAAGCAACGTATACCCTTAATGGAAGCGAATTAGGGATAACAACACATGAAAAGGACTTGGGAATTGTTATAGACAACAAACTATGCAACAATGTGCAATGTCAATCAGCAGTGGCCAAGGCCAGTAAGGTATTGTCATGCATGAAAAAGGGCATTCATTCTCGGGACAAGAATATAATTTTGCCTCTTTATAAATCACTGGTAAGACCCCATATTGAATATGCTGTGCAATTTTGGGCACCTGTTCTAAAGAAGGATATTATGGCACTAGAAAAAGTGCAGAGGCGGGCTACAAAATTAATAAAAGGAATGGAACATATCGGCTATGAAGAAAGGTTAACAAATTTAAACCTATTTAGTTTAGAAAAACGTCGCCTGAGAGGGGATATGATAACATTATACAAATATATTCGTGGCCAATACAAACCATTGTGTGGAAATCTATTCACAAACCGGACTTTACATAGGACACGAGGCCATGAGTTTAGACTGGAAGAAAGAAGATTTCGTCTAAGGCAAAGGAAAGGTTTTTTTACTGTAAGAACAATCAGGATGTGGAATTCTCTGCCTGAGGAAGTGGTTTTATCAGAGTCCATACAGATGTTCAAACGGCTACTAGATGCATACTTGCAAGAACAGAATATTCAAGGATATAATCTTCAATGTAGGGTAATAACTGCTTGATCCAAGGATAAATCTGACTGCCATTCTGGGGTCAAGAAGGAATTTTTTTCCTAGTTTGTTGCAAAATTGTGCTTCAAACTGGGTTTTTTTGCCTTCTTTTGGATCAACAGCAAAAAACAAATGTGAGGTAGGCTGAACTTGATGGACGCAAGTCTCTTTTCAGCTATGTAACTATGTAACTATGTATCTCCCCGCGTCGGGAGTGGGTAATTTGCGTGCCTGCTGCCTTCCTTGCATGTGGTAGTTGTTTCTCAGGCTCCCTCTCTGCAATCGAACCCTGATTCCCCGTAACCCATGGTCACCATGGTAGGCGTGGAAAAGAGCATTGAAAGTTGATAGGGCAGACATCCGAATGCGTTGTCGCCGTCATGGGGACGTGCGATCGGCACGAGGTTATCACAGACAAGCACAGCCAACTGTCCACGGCCAACATGGACAAGCTCACGTTTATTAAAATGAACCAGGCATGGATCCCACCAGACTTGTCTGTACCTTGTGCAGAATAGACATTTATACCGGCCTCACCCAGCTCTGCGAAACAGCACCACTTCACCACCAATGAGTGGGCCCCCATGCAAGACCTGTGTGCCATGTTGTGCTGTTTCGAGGACTCCACCAACATGGCCAGTGCCGCTGATGCTGTTCTTGACCTTACTATCCCGCTTCTATGTCTACTTGAAAAAACGCTTTGGGCGATGATGGAAGAGGATGTGGCACAGGAGGAAGAGGAGGAGGAAGAGGGGTCATTTCCACAGTTATCAGGCCAGTCATTCACAAGTGACTCGGAGGGTGGGTTCCTGCACCAGCATAGGCAAGGTACACAATTGTCCAGCATCTCCACACTGTCCCATGGATTAGTTGTCCATCTCTCAAACGCTGTAGAGAAAGAGGAAGTTTCCCCCTAGCCTGGCCCTGAATGCCAGCATTTCAAAATTCCTGGCCTTCAAAATGGTCTCATTCCGTCTGGTGGAGACGCACAGTTTTAAAAACCTGATGGCGTTGTTGGACTGCAAGAAATTCACCGCAGGCCGCAAATGTTTCTTTTTTTATATGTCCCAATATTTGGGGGGTTACCCCAATTTAAAAAATAAAAAAAAAATAGTGTTGGCTACCTCCTCCACTGCAGCTTCCACCTACACCGCCACGGTCACCGCCTCCTCAACCTATGGGTCACTTAGTATAAACTATGTATACAATAGCAGAGGCTTGTGAAGGCCTTTTCTCCATGCATCAGGAGTTGACCTCAGTTTGAACAATGAAAGAGAATACCCTGCACTCCAACTCTCTCTCAAATGGATAATTCTGGTGATCCTCCTGACAGCCATGCTTTAGATTTCAATTTATGTTCTTCCAAAGCTAAAATCAAAGATTCCATCTAGTGCTATTTTATGCCTCAGCTGTATTTTTCATTTTTAGGTATTTTATGTTATTTTAAGTGATTTCCCTATCCACATTTGTTTGCAGGGCACTTGTCCTACCCTTACCCCCATTTTACTTCCTTTTGTAGCCCTCTAGCCCTTTCCAGGACTTTTTTAGAGCCATTTTTGTGCCCAAAAGTTCGGGTCCCCATTGACTTCAATGGGGTTTCGGGTTCAGGGTCAAGTTCGAGCCCGAACCCGGACTTTTTCCGAAGTTCGTCCGAACCCACCGAACACGAACATCCAGGTGTCCGCTCAACTCTATTAATAACCTCTTAAATTAGAATAGAAGCCTGGTCTACACTATTCTAGAACTGTGACCCAGGAGGAATGTTTTGTCTGAGTGATTCTGACCTTGACTTATTTTCTTTCATATTTATATTTAAAATATATTTTAAGTTAAAGCAGATATAATATCAAAATGTATTTGAGCATGGGTACATGCCACCATATGCTCCTTTGAAAGAGCGTCAAATTTAATCTATACATTGTGCTACCAGATTTGTGAGCAAATGGATAGATTAATAGAAAAAAAATATATATATATATATATATATATATATATATATATATATAGTTTTCTCCCACCTCTCAATCATTCTTTAGTGTGGACTCTATGCTAAAGATTTGACTGAGAATGGAAAGCAAAAGGGTCTTCCCACAGTTGGTCCTTCATTTTTTCCCCAAGCATAGTAACCACAGTGAAAAAGAAGAGAAGGATTTAGCACTTGAATAGTTACTGATGAATTCTAATTGGCAGCTCAACAACCAAGTCTGGCGTCTCTCTTACCCGGATGTACAGACTGCAGGTAAATCAGAAGAGTAGGTGGAGTGCCTATAGTGATTATATGAAACAACAAAAAAGGGGAGATAAGGCTGATAGTGTAGTAAGTCTCTTCTTTAGTGATTAAAAATACAATATGCACTTACACTTTTAAGGAGCTACAATTCAGCTCCCACTTCAGCATTTGGGTGGTATAATCCCTGCCTGAGGATATAATGTAGTCTTGTAGGTCCAATAGTTATTCCTTGTAAGAGGTCCCATGTGCGTAAAAGGAGTACAAGAAAAAAAAATATCTAGTGTAGTAAATAATATAAAATTCCAGAGGTAAGTATATAGGTTTACATTTACTGTTTGAGCAATGGCTCCTAGGGTATAGCGTGTAGTGGTGTGATGCCAACTCTAGGATACATAGGTAGTGTAAATCCTCTCTGTGCAGATATAAAAGAACACACTGTGCTATAAAAGTGTAGAAATTAATGAAAACGTATTTAGATGGAATAGAGCCATTTTAGATTTCTCATTCCTAAGCATGTAGGTGGCTTAAATCCCAGCAAAGATATATGGATATAGAAGCAGCAGTAGTAAAGTCCAAGCTTTAAAAAAGTACTTTATTTATCAAAACAATAAAAGTATAAAGTAAACATAGTATAAAAACAATATTCAATAGTACACAAACGCGTTTTACCATAAAATGGGCTTTATCAGCCTTTGCCTTCCCCCTTTTTTGTCATTTCATATAATAAATAAGGACACTTAAAGGGACCCTGTACTCACTATAATCATTTCATCTCTTTGATTTGGTTTTGATGCCTGAAATCTCCTGGCACTGTCTCTCCATACAATGTTAAACCATTTTAGAGCTGTTTAACACTAAATAAAGGATCAAGGCCACCCACAGTCCAACCTCTTCTGGAGGTGTGGCCAAGGCAGAGATTACACACTTCCTTGAAGGCATACCCTTCATACCGTTAGTTGGAGCTCTGATAGGCTAACAACAGACAGCTGACACTCTCAGCCAATCATAGCTGCCCATTGCTGCTCCTGCTAGTACTTCCTCATTCGCCAAAGCAGCACAGAGAGGAGGGGATGCTGGGGACTCTAATTTAGCATTGAAACATAAAAATATGAAAAACTGTTTAATGCTGAATAAAATGATGAAACTTGGGAACTCTGGACACTATAATCAGTTTAATGAAATGGATTTCATGGGAGGATACCACAGAGGAAGCCACTGCTGTCCAAACAAAACATTGCTGCATGTTTACAGTTTGCACAAGAGCACCTGGATGTTCCACAGCAGTACTGGCAAAATATTCTGTGGACAGATGAAGACAAGAGTTCTGCCAACTCATGTGGGCTGGATCAAGAGGTAGCTAAAAAGGGATTATTGATGGTTAGGGGACAGCCACTAAATATTGATTTTATTCATAGAATAAACACAGAAGTGACCAATAGAGAAGGGGGGAAATGAGGGGCAATAAAACAACTTTACATACAAGCAGAATTCTTCTAAACATTTTGACTCCAGCTACTGAGGGAGACAGACTATCTGTAACCCATGGATCAGCACAGCTAAGAGGAATAGGCCTTGACAGAGCCAGGAGGTAGGCATAGCAGCCACAGGAAGTTAGTGACAGCTAGCATGCTGGGTAGGGTGGAGCCATAAGGGGAGTATTTATACCGGCCATTATATGAAGTGGCCATTTTAACTGAACCTAAGCTTACCTGTCAGTTGTCCCTCCCACCCTCCCTGTATTTGGTTAGGTTAGTTGATTTCCCATTTTTTAACAGCGGCGGGGAATGGCCTGGTTAAATCGGAGGGTAGATGGAGGAGAAAGTGGGCATCCTGAGGTTTAGTGTGGATTGGGCAGTGTTGCACGTGGTTGGTAGGTTTGAGCCCATCTGTGGCTCCGAACCTGGGGGTGTGGTGGTGTCTTGGTACACCCTACACTGGAACTGGTGGGTAGCGGTGTCTTGGTACACCCCTAGAATGGATATGGTGGGTAGCGGTGTCTTGGTACACCCCTACAATGGATATGGTGGGTAGTGGTGTCTTGGTACACTCCTACAATGGATATGGTGGGTAGCGGTGTCTTGGTACACCCTTACAATTGATATGGTGGGTAGCGCTGTCTCAGTACACCCCTACAATTTAACCTGGTTGAAATGTGGTCATATTGGGCGGCCAGTTTCTGTATTAACATGTTATTTAAATTATCTATTGTTAATATTGTGGGGTCATTGCTAGGGGTAAAGAAAATTGGAAGCAGAAAGGATACACTCATACAAGGGATTAACCCTTCAAAAACGACAGCAGTAGTAGGGGTATTGCTAGGGGTATGTTATGTACAGTTGCAAGAAAAAGTATGTGAACCCTGGTGTGTGTTTTTTATATGGCAGAGCAGCTGTAACTAACACCTCCAATCTCATCTCATTGATTGGACTCCAGTTGGCTGACATCTCACTCCAATTAGCTCTTGGAGATGTCATTAGTCTAGGGGTTCACATACTTTTTCAACCTGAACTGTGAATGTTTACATGGTGTGTTCAATAAAAACATGGCAACATTTCATTCTTTGTGTGTTATTAGTTTAAGCAGACTGTGATTATCTATTGTTGTGACTTAGATGATGATCAGATCACATTTTATGACCAATTTGTGCAGAAATCCATAGCATTCCAAAGGGTTCACATACTTTTTCTTGCAACTGTATATGGGGGGATGTTAACTTTAATAAGATTTGTTGGCAATGACCCCATTTGTTATTCCTTAATAATTTTATTAATAATTTAAAAAAGCTGTGGACTAATTATTTCCAACAGTATAACACGTGTCCGTGTTTTAATGGGGGTTTGGGTAAGGTTAGCGCATAAGCCGGCAAATCCGTCTGTGCGCCTGTCAAGTGATACTGTGTGTTTAACCTTATCTGCCTGTATTTGAGTGGGAGAAAGCCTGTGTCAGTGATTCTAGTGTGTGACTAGGTTTTGCTTTCTGCTGTATTTTGCTAGCAACTACTGCCAGGTGTACTTGAAGCAACTTTGAGATAGGTAATTGACAGGCATTTTATCACTGATCCTAGTGTGAGACTAGATTACCAATATACAAATTTGAAAGTTATTGTATTTCTTTATTTTCCTGTCAACTGTATTGAGAAAAGAAAATGCTTTGTTTTGGGAGTGTGGTTATTAGTTACAAAATAACCTCTTTCCTAGCC